GGAAGGGGAGGTCTGCAGCCTGTGGCCTCTCCTAGCCCCAGGTCAGGGGCAGGGGGCCAGGCTGGGGAGCGGGGCAGGCGGAGGGCTTCTCCCTGAAGGGTGTATGAGGTGGCACACCTTCAAATTATTACTAAGTATCTGTAATCAAGCAAAGCTAAAACCTGCAAACTGAGACAGGGAGGAAAACAAAATACGTATTCACTGATTAATTTGAAAAAGCCTAAAAGAGAGTGGCAATGGGTGGGGGGGAGGGTCGGTTAAGTGCCTGGATCATTTGCTGCTTCCTTCACGAAGAAAATGCTGTTAGACTGTAACAATGCCCAACGGTGTCTTCTATCCAGCATTTGTCACTCAGAGTAACTACAGCAACTTTTCCCTCAACGCTGAGACCCCAGGAGCGCCAAGGCACGACTGAACCGGGGGAATGATGTACCAGCCTCAGTTCCATGTGTTTTCTCCATCAACCTAACTTCTCGGCATTGGTATAGTTTCAAATGCAGATTTTCCTATAGAATTTCTGGGGTCCCTAGCCGGGATCAGGATACCCATGTGCCGCGTACCCACAGGCTGGGGCTGGACTCTGCAGGATAAAGTCCTCCCCACAAGGGAGGGGGCAAGGCTCGGAGCCTCTGCTCCAGAGCCAGGCTGCCGAGATTCTCCTGCTAAAGGGGTGCTGGGTGGCTTCTGAGAGACAGAAGAGAACGGGAAGGCTTCAGAGGAGGGGATGTGGTCACTGAAGGTGGCCTCCCAGCTGCCTTCGGAGTCACCTGCAGATTTGTGATAATCATAGCCTTGTCACACTCAGGGTGGAATGAGCCACAATGATTACTCGTCTCTTGCAAAAGAGTCGCTTTTACTGTCAGGCCAACTATGGGAGATGACAACTTTCAAGTCTTGTAACCAACATAGAAATCTGGTCTTGCTTGAAAAACCAGATTTTTTCTTCAGTGTGGCAGGAGTGGGGGGTTAGATGTATCCTGATTTTCCACTGCTCCTGAAATTGGCATGCCAACACCTTAGGAATGGTCAACCAGGTAAAGCCGAAAGGCTGCCTGGGCCAACATACGCCCTTGCAGAAACACTAATTCTAAGGCCTTTCCAGATCAAGAGCCAGCAGAGAAAAACACGGGGCATCGATTCAATGTCTGCAAAGTTATGCATGTACTGCCTGGGCTACTCAAGACTCTCATCCTGAAGAATGATGTTGAAAAACCCCATTTAAATTAATTCGATAGGTTTTTTTCCCTCAAAGCCGAAACCGCTTCCCATTAAGTACAGCGGGGATGGACAGAGGAAGGAGTATTGCATTAATTTTCCTCAGATTTTCTGAAAAGCATGGAGACATGAAAGCTGATGAATGCCAAATGTGTGTGTAATTTGGTAGTTTTAGGATGCAGTCACTATTCAAGTATGTAAACTAATCCATTAGCAGCTTTTAAAAGTCCATCTTCTCTAAGCTTTGCACCAGAAAGAGAGTTGGGCAAAACTTTTTCATTAATTCTTAAAATCACAGCTCAGTGAAGCAGATAAAATGTCACATAAATCCACAATGACATTTTGCTCTATACCAACAGCTTTACTGCTTAAAAACATGCATATAACAGTTTTGTACTTGGGGACAGTTCCATGGCTATAGAGCCACTCTGACACCCCACTGCATGATTTATACTGATGTGCAAGACTGCTAAGGGATGCTGCTCAGGGAAGAGAACTCTTCCATGCACCCAAGAAAGACTATGAGAGAAGGTGCTGGAGAGAGGGTTCCCTTTCTCTAATGTGGAGTTGGTGCATGGGCAGGCCAGAGACAGGGTACATGGGTCAGGTGAGGCACTCAACATTACTGTTTCCTCACAGCACCCTTCTGGGCTTACCTCTCTAAGAACATAATTATATTCCAGGTGTTTATGAAGTGTTCACTTAGCGATGGCCACAGCTTTCCTCCTGGGGCCCATCAGAATCCTCCAAATCATGAAATCATTCAGGAAGTATCTGGCCTGTGAAATAGGTCCTTTTTCAAAGTGTTTTAGTGCCCCTTTGATGTTACATTTCTGCTTCCAAGACCCCAAACCATTCACCCCAAGAGAGCTGCGGTCTTTCCCGCAACACACCTGTTCCTTCAGCGAGGAGCCTGCTTCTCCCAGCAGATCTGACAAGTCCACTTTCTAAACCGCGTGAGCCCCGTGAGTCACCCTACTCTACTGTAGCCCACTTATTGGGAACTAGAAAATGAAGAAGGTGCACGAACACTATTGCTTTAAACCGCAGACACTACAAACAGCACTGTAGAAGCACTGGGGGTCCCTGGCCACAGTTTCATCCTATAATATTTTCAGACCTTGAGGGGAGGTGGCTGACAGATTAATGACTTACTAGATACGATCACCAAAAACCAAACAAACAAACAAACTATACTCAGGGTTCTACAAAGCTACTGCTCCAAACGATTTTCCCATTTCTGACAGTCGGCATAGTGGCATATAAACCCATCACTCCAAACTCACACCATGTCTTCGTCATCGCCTTGCCAGGCATCCCAGTGATGACGGAGAGAAGTGTGTCATTCATCTCGAGGGCATGGCCTCTCGAGAAGTGAGCAGCTACCTCCCATTTACGAAAGCTTTTTCAAATATCTGAGATCAGAAGTAAAATGTTCCTGGAGACACCATTTTAGTTACGCAAGTGCCTGAGTGCCAACAGTCTTCAAATGCTTTACCCGCCGTGAAGGAAATATGCTGCATAGTTTGAAGTCCCAGAGGAAGCTAAGGGTTTGAGGCAGAGATGAGTAGAACTAGAGAGGCTGGGGTGGAGGAGGCTTACCTTTAGGAAGGCTTTCTTCTCCAAAGTGTTCATGATAAATGGAGGAATGGCTGGAAGTAAAGACAGATCCACTTAAGTCTTGATATTCATTTTCAGCTTACATTTTTTTTTCAACAATTTCATAAAACGCTTATGTCACTTTTAGGCTATTTTCACTGGCAGAGTGAAAATTATTTGCAGTAATTCTTTAAGACTTTAGTATGTTAAAAAAAATTAAAAATAATGTGATGGTCTTTACCAGCCAGAAAACTTTAGAATCCTGAAGGGAGCTTTACATTTCACTTTAAATATGCAATAGTACAAACATCGGGGACTTTTCTCCCGTGTGTTAATAAAACAGATGCGATCTCCCCCAGGCACCCATCCCACATGGAGTCCACCATAAAGATTCTTCCTTCAAAAAAAAAAAAGAAGAAGAAGAAAAAAAGATTCCTGCCTTGAGTGAGCTTAGAAAAGTTACCTAACTTCTCTGAGCCGCAGCTTTCTGTTTTCCTCATCAATAAGGTGGGGTGAATTTATCAAACTGGCTGTGATGGCTGGATACAATAAGTCACGTAAGACTTCGGGGAGTGGTAGTTCATTTATGATTTACTCATCACTTCCATCAGACTAAACTGTTACATCGACCCCTTCAACATGGCAATTGCCTCTATAGATTTCACTGGGATAGAAAGATTGTGTTTCTTCTCTGATGACTAAATAACGTTTAAAATTTCAAGCCTCTAGAAATAGATCCGTTGGGCTGGCTGAACCCCAAAGGGGAACCTTATATTTCAAAATGAGAAAGAACAAAACTAAAACCATAAGTGAACGCAGGGTGGAAGCAGGGGTGCAAGCCTGACCGTGGCAAATCTGGAGATCCGGGCTCAGCGGGCGTGCTGGGGAGGGCGCCGAGCCCTCGGAGGTCGGGGACAGCGTGCCGGCGCCAGACTCAGGGGACTCCTGGCCTATGTTTCAGGACTGGGGCTTCCACGGCGCACCCACCTCCACAGCATGTCTCCAGAGGAAGCTGTGAGGGTGCCCTTGTTAAGTCAGTTAATGGGGGTGAGATCAGACCATCCTGGTATGCTGGGGTGCCACTCTAATGTCCCTCAGAGTTTCCCTTCAGGCCTTTTTCTTCAACTTTCATTGCCTACTCCTACGTGCCCCCTGATGAGATTCACAATGACAAAACGAACTTAAAGACGACAAAACATACTGCGGGACAACCTGACAGCGGCTGATTAAGTGGGCTTCCCTTGAGAGCTTAACAGCCAAGTGCTCTTTGCATTCAGTTTAGATGATGAACTTAATCATACTAGTTTCCATCTGTTTCTGTAAACAGCGCTAGACCTCCTAGACCCTCTGGTTTCTGAGCAAGTCTGAGAACCTTCTCTCGGCCTTTGGTCTGAGGGGAGCCCTAGGGGAGGACCAGAGAGTCTCAGAGGAAGTAAACACAGGGCAGGCTCCGGGCGTGGCTCATGGTGACTCCAAGCCCCACGAACAAAATGGAGTAGAAGCTTGGTGCACATCTTACGAGCTGCTCTAACCAACCCGACATGGTGTGTGTTCTAAGGGCTCCGACTGATACAAATAAATCTCCAGTAGAAATTTTTCCGATTCAAGAACTCTTCCAAGTTTCTTTCGAAGAAAGAGTGACAGAAATCAGATTCTCCGCCTTCAGGTTCTCATAACCCGTACGGTCGCCGCCCGGGCCCCGACCTGTCCCCACCACTGGCCTGCTATGGTGGGCCAGCTTCCCGGCCGGTGTCCCCAGCCATCCCACCGCCACTGCTGGCCCTCTCCAGCTTCCACCTAGCACATGACAGCGCCCCACTGCGCCTGGTGTCGTGCAGCGGAAGCCTGAGAAGGATGACCCCAAGCCCCTGCCCCAACTGCTGTGTGGCCTCCCGCCCCTCGGACCACAGCCAGGGCTGGCTGACAGGGGGCTACTGACCCATGCCCGGGGCCGCCATGAGAATCCTGGAGATGACCACCTGTGTGATGGCCTGCCTTGCAGCATTGGCTGACTCGCCCAAGCGGTTCCCGTTCTCGTCTGTGACGGGGATGCCGACTTTGAGTTCCCTGCGGAGCAGAACACCGGCAAAGAAGTTCACAGATGCCCTCTGGTGACAAGGCTGGAAATAGCACTGCGCTAGGGAAGATCAAGTCCCCCGTAATCCAAGTACACACTTGGGTGTCATTTTTGGCACTAACGTGTCTGTTTTCAAATACCACGAATAAGCTGTACGGCAGGCACAGAAGTAAAATAACAGTAGTGAACTCCATTAAAAAAAAGTGCTGTGTTTTTAATAACAATATGACTCAAAGGGCGAGTACGCTAACTTTGAGGGATAAGGCTAATTCCTCTGCTCACCTACAAACCCGAGCAACTTTCCAAATGAGAGGCAGATACAAAAAATCTGCCATTAGTAAGTCAACTGATTAGACTGATGTAGGAATCACTAGTACGTGGCACATACTGGACATTTAACTCTACTTACTGACACTCACATTATAGCTCTTATTTTTACCCTTTCTCATTATCCATTCCAAAATGCTTTTTCTTGGAGAACCTATTTTAGAGAATCCACTTTCTATGCATAGACCTTTGCCTAGCTCTAGCACAAATAAATGTTAGTTTAGGATACACGTATTAAACTTTTTACTCCGCAGAAGTAGACAGACTAGTCTAACATACCCACAGCCTACGTTAGTAATTAGTAAGTCATGGCTAAGCTTCCTTCATTAATGGGCCCATCTCTGCGCCCACAGCAGATTACTTTGAAGCTAACCCCAGGTCTCATATAACTCCATCTGCAACTATCAACGTGAATTTTTACAAGTTTCGACAAAACTAATTATTACAAGGGACTCCACCGTCAAGCACCAGTCCTTTCTGAGACTGCGCACGGATCTTACCTTTGCCTCATTAACGGGATATTAATGCAATTAGCAGCAGCCACGGCAGCAAAGGGGACGAAACGTCCTATAAGTGGTGAGACATGCTACAGGAAAGAGAATTCCGAAAGCACGGTCTTAATTCGCCCGCATGATGGGATGTGGATATTCATTCCCCCCGAACACCGCTAACAAGCCAGGGCCTTATGTGCACGGAAACTCTGGCCAGGAGTACTTTCAAAACTCATGGCCGGGTGGCATCTGTCTGTTTCCAGCACGGGCACACTTCCGTGACACCCGACAGCTTAGCGTGGCTGCCAGACCCGGGTGGGAGGCTTTGGAGTTGCAGCCTTGAGCTCAGGCGCTGGCATCCCCACCTCTCTGGGGGCGTGGGCACAGGCATGCTCCTCCGCACACAGCCTCTAGCAGGCAGTTAGGGTCGGGGGCACCGGACCCAGTGCCCCGGACAGACCAGGGGCTGGGCACATGGTGTTGGTGACAGCCCTTCCCAAGCTCCTTGGAAGACACAACTGCACTTGAACTGTTTTGGGAAATGATCGAGAGACTTGGAGCCAGGCAGGTGGGAGGAAACGAAGAAGCTTCACTGCAGAAACGAGAATCCGGGTACCTTGGTTAACGCGTTGAGTCCCAGAGCTGTTGCTACGGCTCCAGTTGTGGCGGAAACATAAGCTGTTCCCAATTCACTGAAAAGCAAGAGAAAGAACAGTGTGTGAGTCATGAGCACACGGCAGGAAGCTTGGGTTCGGCGTTTCCTGGAGAACTGAGGGGAAAATGTGAAAGGCTGTGACTGAGAGCGGAGCGCCCACAAAACAACACTCACTGTCACTCTACAAACAGAAATGCAGAAGGGGGGCAAGCAGGCCCCGGAGAAGGGGCCCCCCCTCTGCACAAGCCGACTGCCAGGTGTGACGAGCGGCTGTGGGGAGCAGGTTCCGGGGTGGGATGTAGGGTCTGTGCATGGGCACGATGCCACGGCATGGGGAGGGGCGGCCTGGGTGACATGCTGGCTGCATGTCTGCTTAGGTGAAAGATGTTTCTTCAAATGGAGATACACACACCAGAAGTATGCCTGCACCACTGTCGTTCTTAAAATGCTACAGCCTCTCGTATAGAATGCTGCACGTCCCATCCTCGACAGTTGGCCAAGCACAGCACTTCTCTCTCACGTTAAAATAAATTTTAAGTCAAAGTGTTGGAAGAAACAAGAAGGTGTGATGAACACTGCTGGCAGTGGATTTCCACAGCCTTTGTTCCACTCACAGGCGGAAGACTGTGGACTGTCCAAAGCCGTGTGAAGTGATACAACAAAAAAAGAAAACACTCTGAAGTGCTGTACAAGTTGGGCTGAAAGTTTTGGTTAACTAATCACTTCAGCCTGTTGAAACAGTGTCTTACAGGATTGGCTCTGCAGGTGACTTAAAAACAAATTCTGTGGCGCCTGGGTGGCTCAGTTGTTTAAGTGTCCGATTTCGGCTCAGGTCATGATCTCGCGGTTCACAAGTTTGAGACCCGTGGCGGGCTCTGTGCTGACACCTCGTAGCCCGAAGCTTGCTTGAGATTCTGTGTCTCCCTCTCTTTCTGCCCCCTCCCCTGCTCATGCTTGCATGCAAACACACTCTCTCTCTCTCAAAAATAAATAATAAAACCATCAAAAAACCCCAGAAAAGACAAATCCTAGGTGAGAGTCTCCCTGATTTCTGCAGAGATCACACACTGAGGCTGTGACTTTGGATGCCGCTGTCTGGCCACAGGCTCAGGGTAAATGGAGGCACAACCTGTCGCTTGCCCCAGGCTGCCCCGGGACCGCCTGCCGTGCATTCTGCAGGGGGAGCCTGAGGCTGTGGAGTCCTGTCTGAGAGGGCAGGCTGGGCAAGACTAGAAGGGAGGAGAAGAAAGGGCTGAAAACTGCCCCCTGACACTGAGCAGCATCGACAGCTCATACGGCGTGGAATCCAGTGCACACTGGACAACGCAGGGACCGGTTAGGTCTTACAGCCTTACTTTACAGTGAGGGGGGCGTCTCCGCTTCTGTTGGTGTAGTTGACCACGGCGTTGAAGGACTGGTTGATCCACTGCCAGAAGAGCACTGCCGGCGTGGTCCTAAAACAGAGCGATCCATCACATACCGGCCATCGCCTGTGACCCAGCCGCTGTGCAGAACAGAAAACGTGAACGCCAGTGACCAGGGGGGAGACGGACTGCGGAAGGAGGGCACTAGGTCAGAGACCGTGTATGCTGGGTCGAGGGCTTCAGACCCAAATGGCAGAGCAGACTCTCACCCTCTGGGTCTCCGCTCCCTCGTTCCTTAGATATGAGTAACGCCAAGCTTGAAGGGCTACGGTGAGGATCAAGTTATCTTCCTTCAATTTTATCTTAAATCTGTAGAGAGCCTGGCATGCATACAGTAGGCACTCAACAAATGTCAGGTCCCTTCTCTCGGCCGGGGAGGCGGGGTGGCGGGGAGGGGAGAAGCCATTTGCAGGCGAAGTAGCGCTGATGCCTCCTACCGGCGTGCGCAAGCCTAAATGTCTATGGCTACAGCTGCGCCTACACTTATCTGTGTCATATGCATGGATTCCAAGGAGAATTTGCTTCGAAGACTTTTTAATTTTCTTTCTCCGTCTCATTTTCTTTTGGTCTCAGATTTAGGGAAAAACCCAGTCTCCTTTTGAACAACAAAGAGAATACTATTTATCTGGCACAGGGAAAAGTGAAAACTACCGCAGAGGGCTACAACATTTATATAAAATGGAACTCAATGTGACGTGACATTTCTTTCAAAGAAACTGTTTACATGCAAAACTGTACTTGAAGCTTCTGTGATATAAAATGAACTACTGTCATATTTCTATAACTTACCTATAAAATGTCATCATACAACCTGTGATGGTCATGTTCATTGGAACCTGAGCTGACATTCTTCCTATCAAAAGCATCTTTTCACCGGTGTCCGGATGAAAAGCTGAATCATAGATGTATTTTGCTCTCCATAATTCATTTTCTGTGAGACCTGGAGGAACAATTCCTTGCCTAGGGAAACAAGAAACACCAAGGGAAATTTCATGTCAGTGATCTCACCAGTGCTCTGGAGAGATGTAGCTAGAAAGTTCTTGAGTTTCCGCTTACCTAAGACAACTGTGCCTGTGAGTGAAATTTTAGTAACGCAAAGGACAGTAAACACAACGTACATGTCAAACCTGTGTATCTCAAATCAAATCAAAGGATCTGTAATTTTGAAAAACAAAAATTTACCTTATATCTAGAAATATTCAACTCTGAAATAGCCTTCGTTTTAACTGACGTATTTAAAAATATATCTTGAGGAGCACTTGGGTGGCTCAGTCGGGTAAGTGTCCGACTCTTGATCGTGGGCAGGTCACGATCTCAGTTTGTGAGTTCAAATCCCAAGTTGGGCCCTGCACTGACAGCACAGAGCCTGTTTGGGATTCTGTCTCTCCCTTCCTGCTTCCCCCCTGTCTCTTTCTCAAAATAAGTAAATAAACTTTTAATAAGAATAAATAAATAATAATAATAAAAATGTTATTTTGAACTTTGCAAATTCTAAAACACTTTTTTTTAATTTCTAGGAGAGAGAGAGACAGGGTGAGCAGGGGAAGGTCAGAGAGAGAGGGAGATACAGACTCTGAAACAGGCTCCAGGCTCTGAGCTGGCAGTCAGCACAGAGCCCGACGCGGGGCTCGAACTCACGAACCGCGAGATCATGACCTAAGCCAAAGTCCGACGCTTAACCGACTAAGCCACCCAGGTGCCCCCTAAAACACTTTTAACCAATTAGACAAAAGCTGTGGCGATCAAGAACATTAATTTTCTTTTAAACCTACAGATTTGAAACCCTAGGTTAGCAAGGCTCATTATTTTATCGTGTTATCAAAGAAACGCATGTTCATCGCTAAAAATTTAGAAAAGAGAAATTCATTATCTCAATTAAAACTATTCAAGCCTTTAACTATTCATTCCCACTGATAACTGTTTTGGTGAAGTGCCCAGTCTTGCAGGATGTGAATACACCACTTAGGATCTTTATAAAACACGAGACCTGCTGCTTTATAACCACCTTTCTAAAATGAGAAATATTTTGTAAACATTTCTCTGTATCTTTCTTCATCGATATCATCTATACTGGGTTGAACAGGGTCCCCCCCACCTCCAAATTCATATCCACCCAGAACCTCAGAATGTGACCCTATTCAGAATCAGGGTCTCTGTGGATATTATAATTAAAATAAGGTCATGCTGAATTAGTGGGTCCTAAATCCACTGACTGGTACCCTTAGAAGAGCCACATGCAGACAAAGATGGCGGCCCTGTGATGGCAGAGGCAGAGATCAGAATAATGTAGCTGCAAGTCAAGGAACATCAAGGAATGCCTTGGGCCACCAGAAGCTGCATGAGGGGAGAAAGATTCTCCCTAGATCCTTCTGAGGGAGAGGGAGATGGCCCTCCCAATGCCTTGATTTCAGACTTCTAGTTCCAGAACCGGAAGAATGAATTTGTTGTCTTAAGCCACTCAGTTTGTGGTAACTGGTTACAGCCACCTCAGGAAACTAACACATCATCCTTTCAAATGCTATACTATCCCGCTGACTCTCAGATAGCAGATTATCCCAATCCCTTATTGTCAGGCATTTTAATTGCTTCTAATCTTTTCGTTTGTAAAGGATAAGGAAGTCAATCTTCTTATAGATAAATCCCCCCCCAACCCCACATCCAAGCATCCAAGATTATTTAGAAATAAGTATATTTGCTGCGAGCAAAAGTTATTTGAAATATTGAGACACTAAATATGCCTTTTATCCTTTTTCTCTACTTGACTATGTCTTTGTATTATCAGCGGCAGCAGCAAGCTCATTGTTTAAGCAACTCATGTTGCTTAACATGCTGTGGGTGATCTCGTTGGTTGTGTTACCTGTTGCCCAGAACATGTTTATCTTTTTGCGGTCAGGTAGGAACAAATGCCTAGAAAGGCCCAACCTACTTCAAGGTTGTACAAACAGTCATCTCTACAGCTTGTCAGTGAAGTTTTTAATTTATTTGGAATTTATCTTAAGTTGTGAAAATGTGAAACTTGCTTGATTTTGCTTTCCCCCTGGCTGGTCTGCCATGCTACCAACAAGATTTAAATGCTACAGCCATGGTCAGCTGACATCCTGTGAATCCCAGGCCCGGCTTAGGGCTTTCTGTGGACTTCCCACGATCTACAGCTTGAGGGGCTGATGCCCATCCTTAACAAACGGTCCATTTTATGCCTGGGAAGAACAACGGTCTCTCCTGCCAAGACTCCTCATCTTCTTTTTCAAAAGTCCCTGACTTACACTCATAATTCTTCCAGACATCGTTTAGAATTATTTTGTCAATTTTGGGGGTGCCAGGGTGGCTCACTGGGTTGAGCATCTTGACTTTGGCTCAGGTCATGAGCTCACAGTTTGTGAGTTCAAGCCCCATGTCAGGCTCTGTACTGACAGCTCAGAGCCTGGAAGCTGCTTCAGCTTCTGGGTACCCCTCTCTCTGCCCCTCCCCCACTCGTGCTCTGTCTCTCTCTCTCAAAAAAAATAATAAACATTAAAATAAATTTTTTAGGGGTGCCTGGGAGGCTCAGTCAGTTAAGCGTCCGACTTCGGCTCAGGTCATGATCTCACGGTTCGTGGGTTCGAGCCCTGCATCAGGCTCTGTGCTGACAGCTAGCTCAGAGCCTGGAGCCTGCCTCAGATTCTGTGTCTCCCTCTCTCTCTGACCCTCCCCTGCTCACACTGTCTCTCTCTCTCAGAAATAAATAAAACATTAAAAAAACGTTTTTTAATTTTTAAGAATTATTTTGTCAATTTTAAATGTTGATTTATTTATTTTTGAGAGCGGGAGGAAGAGGGTGGGGGGAGTAGAAGGGGCTAAGAGAGAGAGTTGGGGGAAGGGGCTGAGAGAGAGGGAAAGAGAATCCCAAGCAGGGTCCATGCTGTCAGCACAGAGTCCGACGTGGGGCTCAATCCCATGAACTGGGAGATCATGACCTGAGGCGAAACCGAGAGGCCTTATTTTGTCAGTTTGATAGGTGAACACAATTGTATTTAGATGGAAACTCTATTGATCTGGAGAGAACCGACACCTCTGTCATATGAAGACTTTCTGTCCAGACATATTGCATGTTTCTCCAGTTACTCAAGGCTTCTTTTAATGACGCCCAGTGGTCTTCTAACTGCCTCACGCTTCTGGGCAAGTATATGCCACACATTTTATATATAGGTATATGTTTCTTGGTCTTATGAATACTATTAAAAAATATTGTCTTATTATTGCTGGTGTATAGGAAACTATGGACTTTTTGGGTGTAGCCCACTCATCACATTCTCTTATTTGTTCTACTAGCCTTTTAGTTAACTGGTAAGAATATCATTAGAAAGAAAGAACGAATGAGGGAAAAAAGAAATTGTCTCTTGGGGCGCCTGGGTGGCTTAGTCGGTTAAGGGTCCGACTTTCGCTTAGGTCATGATCTTGCGGTTCATGGGTTTGAGCCCCGCGTCGGGCTCTGTGCTGACAGCCAGCTCAGAGCCTGGAGCCTGTTTCAGTCTGTGACTCCTTCTCTCTCTGACCCTCCCCTGCTCACACTGTCTCTCTCTCTCTCTCTCCTAGAAATAAAAAAAAAAAAAATTAAAAAAAAATTAAATAAAAAAAAATTGTCTCATGTTTTTAAGATCTCTACATATTACTTCTTTTTTTAAGTTTATTTTTTAAAAAAATTAATGTTTATTTTTGAGAGAGAGAAAGAGAGAGAGAAAATGGGGAGGGGCAGAGAGAATGTGAAGCAGGCTCCAGGCTCTGAGCGATTGGCATAGAGCCTGACGTAGGGCTTGAACTCACAGACCCTGAGATCATGAATGGAGCTGAAGTCAGACATTCAACCGACTGAGCCACCCAGGCAGAGGGCTTGAACTCAGGACTCCGAGATTAAGAATCACATGTTCCACTGACTCACATGCTCCTGGGCCAGCCAGGTGACCCTCTTGTTTCTTTTTTATGTTTACTGAATCAGGGCTCTAGAACAATGTTATACAATAGTGAAGATAAAGGCATAACCCTGACTTGCTCCTGCTTTTAGAGAGAATACCTTGTAGTGCAAGATTTTTAGAAGAGTGTTCTGCTGGATGTAAAAAGGCCCATGTTCAAGTTTGAGATAAAGTATTAAACAGCTTTCTTTAGTCCAAGACTTCATGGAGTATTTAAAAAGTCAATGAGATAGGACATCCTTAAGAATGGCACATAGGGACATGCCTGGCTGGCCCAATAGGTGAAACTTGCAACTCTCGATCTGGGGCTTGTGGGTTTGAGCCCCATGTTGGGTTGGGGGATTACTTAAAAATAAAATCTTAAAAAAAAAAAGAATGGGATGTAAACTTCTCTAAATTTGAATGGAAGACTGTGTGTGTGTGTGTGTGTGTGTGTGTGTGTGTGTGTCCTCTCGGTGTCTGGTGTTGGGGGAAAATACTCCATAGGACTGCTTTTCTGCACAACTGTCCGGGAAGTTCAGTTCTACTGTTTCATCATTTCCCGCAATGCTGGCTGCTAACGTGGAATGCGTAGTCTTTACCACATTAAAGAAATACTGTACCTTATTCCCAGCTGATAAATTATTTTCTGAGAAAAACGGATAACTTTACCTTCTTTCGGGCATCTATCAAGATGTGACTTTCCCGCTTTGATGTGATAAATTACAGGGACAGATGCCCTAAAATAAATCACCTTTTTTGTTCCTGGAATAAATCCTACTTGTTCACATTTTCACATAAGGCTGGATTTGATGTGCTAGTATTTTATCTTGGGTTTTTGCCTTATTAGTTTGTAAGATGGGCCACTGGTTCCCTTCAGCATCCTTCTATCATTTATTGCAGCAGGGTTGCACCTGAATTGGGAAGCATTTCCTTTTTCAGATAATTA